CAGGCAACATCTGTGGAGCAGATGCTTTGCCAGTGGCAGATGCCCCAGCGTGTGACCGCTGGGGGCAGTGGGCACAGCGTCCTGGCCCACTTCTTGGTCATGGGTCTCACTTGCCTCTGAGCCATTTGAGTGATTTGAAGGCTTTGTCATATCTATAACCATAGTTCTCAGTGCAGAGGCTCAGATACTAAAAACAGCAAACTAAACCTAAAGGTAGGGCTGGGTTGTGGCTCAGCAGTAGAGTGCTCTCCTAGCATGTGTGAGGCCCTGGGTTTGATCCACATAAAATTAAATACAATAAAGAAAAAAAAACCTAAATGTGACACAGGGATATTGTGAAAAATTGAAATGGAACAAAATGTCATCCAGAGAAACCTGATTCTTGGACCCCACCCCCAGCTGCACTTCCTCAGGTTCCTCCCCCGAGTATCCCTGGGCACTGTCACCATCTTCCCAGCTAACCTGACCTCCCGCCTCTGCCCGCCCACCCGCAGGTCTCCGTGCTGGTCCTCTTCGCTCTGGCCTTCCTCACCTGTGTCGTCTTCCTGGTTGTCTACAAGGTGTACAAGTACGACCGCGCTTGCCCTGATGGCTTCGTCCTCAAGGTAAGGCTCCACTTCCCCCCAGAGGCTGTGGGATACCAGTGTGCCTCTACTTCCGATGACCTTGGGGCTCCTCTTGCCAGGAACAGGCCCTAGAGCAGCTGAGGCCTTGTGCTCCATACCCACGACAGTGAAAGCCTGGAGAGTTGGCAGGTGGCCAGAGGGCATAGCTGGACCAGTAGGAAGTGCTCAAGGTGACATTTCCCTCCTGTGTCTTGCGCTGGGACTGGTGGAGAGAAGGTTGGCTACAGGAAAGAGGGGTGAGGCCCTGCCCAGGTCACCTGGGTGCACACCAGCCCTCCTGGCCCAGGTTGCTCTTCAGGTGGCTGCAGGGCGGCTGGGCCTCTGTGCACATTCCATTTCCTTGTCATTTCTCTTCTGAAACTAGCTCTTCACCTATATAGGGGACTTGCTGGGATTTCTGATCTTTATTCTTCACTGTCCAGTGAGCTGGTAGAGTCACTGTTCTCCAAGGAGCAGGGTGGCATCTGATCTTTACATTGTCACCTAACTGGTGGCAGTAGAGTCTGTCCATCTGAGGAGAGGCAGTAGCTATAGCAGCCCAAACAGGGGGCACACTGCAGCACCCCTGGAGCCGCGGGCATGAGGGCATGCTGCTGAGATTCACTGCCGTCCCACCCTCGCCACCACCACCTCCCCAGATCCTGTGGTGGCCCTTGAGCTCTGCCTGCCCGTCTGTGAGCTGGCAAAGCAGGTAGCACCCAGCCTCTGCAAAGGACAACACAGCTGCCACTTCTGGAGTGGCCTGGGCTCAGACTTTCTGAGTGAAGGCCCCAGCCAGGCAAGGGGACCAGCAGGGCTGGGGTCAGCAGTGCCTCCTGGATGGGTGTTCTGTCCTCCTGGTGTTCTCGATGCCCAGCACAGCCAGTCAAGCCTGCATTGGGGCCTGATGGTGCCCACCTGCTGCGCTCTCCCTGCTGCACACCCTAGGCATGGTGGCCACTGCTTGCAAGAGCGGGAGCCCACCCGTTCAGGCTCACTGGGCCTCCAGGTTTGCTCAGGTGGGCGCTTTTCATGACCACCATGTATCCATCCCTCAACATGTTCCGTGCTCAGCCTTGTGACAGCAAGCACAGCCAAGCCATGTCAAATGAACCCATACCTCGAAGGTGACGTTACAGCAGGAGGCCCTGGCTGGGGAAAGCTCGTTGCGGAGACTACGGCTCTGGCAGTGGTTCCCTTGCAGCTGACTTCCAGGGCAGGTCCCAGCTCACATTCTTGTCTAAACGAGCACCCCACCTTCCCCCTTGAGGACACAGGGTGAGCCAGCAGCACAGGGGAGCAAAGCCTCCTGGCAGTGAGTGCAGGTGGTCAGGGGTACGTTCCCGTGGCCTGAGAGCGTTGGCTGAATTGAAAGGATTGCCGGTGGTCAGTTCTGGACAAAAAAACCCAAAAAACCCAGGGCTGACCTTTGGGTGCAGCGTACCACAAGGCCCAAGGCTCCACTGTTGGTCTTACTTTCCTGTGTGATAGAGACATCCATACTTTGGTTTATAAGATTTGTTAGATTTGTTATTCTCACCCAAAGTCCAGGCTGGAAAGCAGTGATGGATTTGTAGTCATCGGACTTCCCTACCTCTTGCTGTCCTTAGCCCCCTGGGTTTTGTCCTTGGGGTGGCAGGAGATACATGAAAAATGGAGGGCATGCAGCTTCCCTTTAGAGCCCACCCAGCCCAGAACTTGCACCTGTCACATCCATTCAAATCCCACTGGCCTGAAGTTAGCCTCAGAGCCTTACCTGGCTACATGGCAGGCGGGGAAATGTAGCTGTTGGTTGGGATGCCCCCTGCCCTGGTCAGCTTTGGGGAGAATGTGTGGTGGAAGACAATTAGCAACATCAGTGCACCTTCCCCAGGGATCTGTGCTGTGTGCACATGCCTACTGCAACCCCTCCCGGCCAAGTCATCCAGCATCAGTTGTGACTGGGGCAGTGGTTAGTTGGCTTCTGTCCTGAGTAGCAGCCAACTCATGTGCAGGATCTGAAGCCTTCAGGGCTCTACACTCCTGACAGTTTGATGACTGCTATACACTGTCTTCTTCCAAAATGCCACACAGCACCACAGGGGTTTTCAGCCATTATGAAACCCAGTCTTGGATGTCCCAGTTTTGTGACTTATAGGGGGCAGCTTCCAGCCTCCACCCCTCTGAAACTGCTCCATGCATTCCTGCTTCCCTTGGGGTCACAGGCCCACCCACATCTCCTACTGGGACCTTGACAGCTGAGAGGCTGGCCCTGGCCCTTCTGCAGGCCCCTGCTCACTCTCTGTGCTGGCCTGGTTTTCCTGCAGTCTCCCGCTCCAGGGCCTCTTCTACGTGTGCTCTGTTCTCTGCCTCAAGTACTTGCCTGCCCATCACCTGAGCAAGACCTCCTGAGGACCTAGCCCAGTGCCCAGGGAAACCTTTCTCACTTCCCTCCCTACCTTACTTGAATTGGTTACTTCTGGACATGTCAGAAGGGTCATTGTTTTCTAGTAGGTGTCCTACGCACCCTCCCCCCACCCCTGCAAGTGCCCACGTAAGCAAAGCACACAGTGTGAAATCTCTGGAGAAGTAAAGCCTGTGACAGAAGCTCAAGTGCCAGTCTGACATGGCACCTACCAGTTAATGTCAGGCTTCTGTGTGGTCGTGCTCCCAGGGCAGGACTTGTGTCTGTTGTGGCCCATCCTGGTACTTATCCCTCCAGGTTCAGAGAAGGTGCCGTCACAACTGTGGGGCATCGACTGGGGGATACTGGCACCTCTCTTGCACCCACGCCTGGTCTCAGTAGCCTCTTGTCTTGCAGAATACCCAGTGCATCCCAGAAGGCTTGGAGAGCTACTACGCGGAACAAGACTCCAGCGCCCGGGAGAAATTTTACACAGTCATAAACCACTACAACCTGGCCAAGCAGAGCATCACCCGCTCCGTGTCACCCTGGATGTCAGTGCTTTCAGAAGAGAAGCTGTCAGAACAGGAGACTGAAGCAGCTGAAAAGTCAGCTTAGCAAGATGGGCAAGTTCCTTCCAATGTGTCACTTGAAGATAACAAAGGGACTTTGAGGGACATTTCATTAAATATAATTACTGATAATTTAGAGGTTACTCATTTACGGTGCAATTGCTTCTGTTTGCTAATGCTGCTTTGCAAATAAAACTTGCTGCCGACCACCCACGGGCATAAAACCAAGAGCATATCAGCGTTGCTTAAAGAGCTCTGGCGCTACTTTTTATGCTATGGGTTCTTAGTTTAGCTCCATCACTGGGATTTACTGGATGCTGTCAAAAAACAAATTTAACCTGGATGTACAAGGGCGTTGGCCTTCAGATACATAATGCATTTTGTGGAGTTTATTTTCAAAGCCACCTTGTTGTGTGCACACCTTACCCCATAGCCATATCTAGAGTGATCTCTTGCTAAGAGCAAGTGCTACTTCAGTTTCCTCACCCCCCAGCTGATGGTGCCACTGAGGACAAGAGCACCAGGTGGCAGATCTGCACCAGGTGGTTCTTAGTACGGCTGGGTCCCCTCTGGCTCTGGCATCTTGATAAAGAGGGACCACTGAGTGGACATGTGAGGTTCTCTTCAGAGTGCATGGGCTGGGCAGAGGAGAAGGGGGGTGGGAGGAGCTGGTCCTGGGGTTGGGGGCTGCAGAACTGCCTTCCCGTGGGTGGGCTGTCTGCTGGTGATGTGCTAAATAGGAAAGAAATGCTCTTTTGTTCATTTCTATTATGATCAATTTGCACGTATGGTCCTGTATGCAAGTTAATTTTTACAAGTTTGCTGGGTAGGAAAAGTGAAAATTTAATTGCTGGTAAGCCAGGGCTACTTTAAGCTTTATTCTTGGATAGATATTATTCCTTGATATAGCAAACAGCTGGGGGGCACTGGTGTGGCACCCTGCAAACCTGACATTTCAATCCACAATCTTTGTAAGAAAATTGTTTCAATTTGAATCTTGACATTAAAGTATATCTTTACAAAATTGCCAGTTAGATAAACTACATGTGTAAGACAATTAAATGGAAAAAAAAGATATCCACAGATGTTGCTTGCATGTTATTGAGTGTGTTGATTCTGGTGGGTGTGTCAAGTTTCACTGGTTTTTAGAAGAGCAGAAATAAATGGCAAATAGTGCGAGACCTGTTGCAAACAAGCATGGTGAGGACGGTCGGCTCCACTGCTCTCCCTGAGATGTGCTTCCAAGACAAATGCGTGTTTTATTATCAAGGGTGTTTCGAAACAAAGATCCTGACCTAGGTGTGGACAGAATGCAGCACAGTGGCCCAAGCTGCGAGCAATACATGCAAGCACTAAACGCGTGCCAAACTTGTCCTGCGAAACCTCCCCCCACCCCTGCAAAGTGCCCACGTAAGCAAAGCACACAGGCGCACCCCCAGGTATTCTAGTAGACATGTACTTTATTGACTGTAAATTGACTACAATAATTTCCTACATTTCACTTGGTGCAAATAAAGAACTCAAGGGTACCTGTGCCACCCAACGACTGTCCATGCACGTGTTTTGTAAGGAGGAGTGGTGTGAACTGGCTCATCCCCACAGGATGCCAGGATACTGGACGCTGTATGCAGACATGGTCCACATGGAGCAGGCTTTCAGTTACAAACAGGTGATCCTGGAGACTCTTCCTGCAGGCAGGTGTGCAGGCATGGGGTATCAGGCCCTGCTCTTCTGTGGCCCACTTCTTCCTTTAAACACATAATACTTGAACCCTGAAGCAGGAAGCCAGGACTTAGGGGCCCCAGTTCCTGCCCTGCCATTAAGAGTGTTGGGGGCGGCAGCTGGAGCCAGGCAGGCAGCCCTGGAGCACCTCGGAGCTTGCCCATCCAGGCAGGTGGGCAACCACTGGACTGCAGTGTTCCTACTGCAGCGAGGCAACGCAGCGAGGGCCACAACTGTATTTAATAGGTTTATGAGGCAAATGAAACTCTTCTGCAACACTGTGACTCTCAGCTGACTCGGGCAACCAGAAGCTACAAGGAACTGAGGCACCAATCCTTTGTAAAGTCATCCTTAGCCAAGTTCTGTCCTGCAGCTGCTGGGATGAGCCCTGAGACAACACGGGGAGTGTGGCCTGCAGTTCATGGGGGAGCTGTCCCTGCCAGGGCAGCACAAGCGGAGGTGCAGTCCACGACCTCTCGCTCATGCTGACTTGTGCCTTAGGGCTGTAGGCATACCACTCCCAAGTTGTGCACTGCTCTTCAGCTGCTGAACAGGCACAGGCCCACTGGCCTGGGTACCCCTTTTGTGATGTACATGTCTGTCTCAACCCCCTGGTCCCTCAAATGACTTTGTGATAAAACCTAATCAAAGCTCCTCCGATGCCAGACACCTGAGTACACGCTTGGTATGTCAGAGGTGCCCCTCCAGATGCTCGTCCTGCATACCTTGGCCAAGGCCGCAGACCCTGTGGCAGCTAGCTGTCGTACCAGTCCAGGAAGAGAAGGGAGAAGGAACACATCACCAGGAAGAAGAGGATCCACACACGGAAACCAGCGTTGTTTTTAATGGCCTGGGTGGGGCGAGAGCACAGGACCTCAGGACTGGGGATCAGAGCCCTACAGTGCCCTACTGTTCCCATGCGTTCCCTGCTCAGCAGGAACTGGGTGCTGCTCGGTCACCTTGGATGGGTGGCTTAATTATGAAGTAAAGTCAACAAGTGGGGTGAATCCCACAGAAGACAAGGGGATTATCCTTTCCAATCCTGCTTTGGCCTGGCAGTACAGCCCATTCACCCAGAAAACACAACACCCAGGAATCACATTTGTCTCCGGGTTCAAGGTGCAGAGCAGTCTCAGTCCTCGCTTGTGTTCCCCAGTCAGTAGGTGACTCAGTGTCAGCCCTGTAACAATCTGACCCTAAGAACAGCTCAGAAAACAATGTCCACTCAATAGCAAGCATCTGGAAGGTCATCCCCAAATAGCAACCAGGCACTGCCCACTCCCTGACACCCCTCCATTCAAGAAGTTACCTAGCCACTCCTGGTCCACCTCACCTTAGACTGCTGCTTTGGAGGGTGGGAGCCACTGTCTTGACAACGAGCTGGAGTCAGCCAGTAGGGCTCATGAACACGTGGCTTGCTGGCACCGACCATAGCTGGCCCCAAAGCCCCTGCATAGCCTTGCCCAGATCACACCCAGGGGACCCAAGAGCACCCACCTCTCGTATGTCCTCATTGCCCTCCTTGATGTTTTCAGTTGCTCCTACCACTAACTGGTGAATGCTATCAATCTCGGCTTCCTGTGGAAGGAAAGGGTGTCGGGTAAATATAGCCACCGCCTTCTCCCACGAGCAGACATTGTGCTGGAAACAGCAGTCTCCTCCGCTTGCCAAAGGACAGAGACTTTACTTGTTGGCCCATGAATCCTCATGGCATCCTGAACTTTATGAAAGCTGGCACCTAGCTTTGTGAAAGGGAAACTTGGGGCTCTGAGGTAACTGAGCCCAAGTCATCCAGCAAGCTAGTGGCAGGGCTGGGATAAGACTCACCTTGCTGGACCCCAGAGCTGGTGCTGCTCCCCATCTTCCGTCTCTCCCAAGCCACTTGCTGATAACAAGGACAGAAACCTAAGAGCTGCTGTTTGTGGAATGGCACTACATGCCAGGGGGCATTCCCTTCAGTCCCTCATTTATTCTTTCCAAGGTCCAGAGAAATGAGCTTCAAAACTCAGGTGCTTCTAAATAAACCCTCTGGCTCCAAAAAAAGTGCTTTATGTCTTCCCCTCAGCTCTATCAGGCAGGCTGAAACTCAAATGGGATGTGATACTTGTAGGAAGTGTTCCCTCCAAACACCTGGAAAACTCAGGAGTAAGGGAGTTTCATGTGAACACTGCTCCTGGACCCACCACTGGCAGAGGGGACCATGCCTGCTAGCCTTTCGAGCAGTGGTGTCAGTTTGTCTCCCTTGCCGGGGTGCCGAGTGTGTGCTGGCATGGGTTGTGCAGAAGCCACTGCTGCAGGCTTTGGCCACCCGATTCCCTGTGATGGCCATTACACAAAAGCATAAGGGCCAGTATTGCTCTGTAGCCACGCCTTTTAGGAGGAGCTACCTGAACCTCGCCTCCGTTCCTATGAGGGACTTGTTATAGGCAAGCAGCAACACGATGTAAGAGAAGACGAATGCAGTGTCCTAGGTCTCCAAGACCTGAGCCACCAAGGCAAGGCTCAGGCTGGAGCTCCATCTGCTACCTCCCCAGGCAGAGCGCAGGAGCTGGGGGAAGCAGGACAGCAGCTCTCCTCTTGTTAAGAGCAACCCATCTGGCTCAGGGCTCTGAGGCAGCCACTGATAAGGGAGGTTCACTGCATTCCCAGCAAGGGGGCTCCTCAGTATCTGGGCTGAGTACAGGAGCCTGAGAAGGAGCGCAGACCTCACCTCTTCTGCATCCGGGCCAACCTCATTGCCTTCCACTGTGCCTAAGACACACTCCAGGAATATTCCCTTTGCCAGTGGCTAACAGCCATGCCCAGAAAATAGGACACAACCCAGATTTGAGGTGGCTAACTCTGGAAATAATGTCAGTCACTACTTTCTAAGAGCCTGTGATGGACCAGGTGTGTCAGGCACTTGAGTGAGGCAAGTGACATCAGCCCCATCTTACAGGCAAGGACAGGACCTGGGAGAAATGGTCCCTGCCACACATGGGTGGCAAGCTGGGCAAGCTCTTCCAGGAACGGGCTGGTGCGCTCTGCGAAGCTGAAGTGATGGCCATGGAAGTGAGGTCACCACAGAGGGAGGCTTCCATCCTGGCACAGCACACAGACCAAGCAGACCCTGTAAGGAGCTACTCAAAGGGCAACTCCTGTGACCTTGGACTTCCAAAGTGGGATTAGATCCAGTTTACCTCCTTCATAATGATCTGACTGGCTGTGTTAGCCCAGTCTAACACACCAGAGCAAACAGATTTTGTCTTTCAAACCCACAGTCGGTGGGTGCTAAAACCCAAAAGGGCAAATTCATTGGACTTTAAAAATTTTGCCAGTAACTGGCTAGAAAAAGTTTAGAATGGTAGATATGGCATGAAACTTCCTGTAAGAAAACAATCCTATTCCCACAAGAATACTCCTGAGGGTGTGGGCCCGGCATTTTGAGAGGGCCATGTCTGAGCTCCTACAACACTGGTGACAGAAAATCTAGGCCCTATCAGGCACTGTGTAGGTGCCTCTGAAACTTATGGCAACCCTGCAGGTCACCTCACTTGATGGACAGGGAATTGCAGTACAGGGGAGCTCCCCAGCTCACCCCAGGGCAGCTACAGCCAAGAGTTGTCTGACAACTATGTCTGGCCTGCCTTCTCCCATGTACCATGCGCTCCAGGAGACAGTCACTTGGTCCTGAGAGGCTGCTGTGGGGCCACCAGGATTTTACTCAAAGAGCTCTGGGTGCCCATGGCTTAAAGCAGCCAATGCTGTAACAGCTGCTGGGCTCGGATACCTGCGGGAGGTGCTCCCAGGGCTCAGTGCATTTCTTTTCTAAGCTAAAACTGAGAACTGCCGTGTTCTGTTTTTGTTTACCTGTTGCAAAACCTTTTCCGTGAATATCTCTTGGAGTCTGGAGATTTCAACCACTCTCCCTTCGATTTGCCTTCATAGAAACAAGAATCCATAGGTTACACATGAACTCTCAGCAATTGGTAATTTCATACATTTCTAAAGAAACCATCTTTGCTAGGTGAAAGAAAGAAAAGGAGAGGCCTTGTCAAGTGGGGAAGAGGAGATGGCATTTGGTCCAGTACACTGGACTCAACTGTGTAAACTGTCCCTCAGTCCTGAAGGTGGGCATGTGAAGTGACCCCTACATTCTGGGCTAGTTCTTGGGGACTGGGGAGTGTGGAGTTATGCCCTAGACACAAAACACAAAGTCTCTGGTAAGCCTGGTGTCTGGCTTGGCCACCTAGTCACATGTGCTGTGGACTCATGTCAGAACGTTTCGAGGACCCAACTTAAAAAAGGTGTTTCCCACTCAAGCCAGCTCCCTCTTGTAGGAAAAAAAACTCCAACTCACTTTGAAAACATCCTACCTGGGTTTGGCAAGTAAGTGCCAGACTCGAGCCATCTGTGAGCCCCTTCCCTGTTCTGCAGCTGCATTGGTGCCTATGTGTGTCTAGAGGGAGCCGCGCCTCCCTCCAGTCCAGGGAAGCAGGTGTTAGATTGGGAGAAGAATCAGGAGGTGGGGCCAGGGCTGGGATGAAGTTCGAGGCTGGGCCGAGGCAGGCCCTGGGGGCCGGGGCCAACACCTTGCACTGAGGAAGTCTGCACCTAGTGTGGGTCCCACCCGAGGGCTCTATTTTGAGGGTGTGCCCACAAGGCAACAAGGCCACACAGACTCAGGCTTCACTGTTCTGCACTCTCTACACATGCCCATGGCAACTGAGGCCTGGGTGCTCTCACTGAAGGGCCAAGGAGGGTGTGTGCTTGGCCACTAGGAGACAGACCTCTGCGAGAGAGAGGTCCTTCAGGGGCCTCATGCCATTTTAGAATGACTACATGTAAACAGCCTTATGCTGCAGCTGGTGTCATGCATTCAGGGTGACCTGCAGCCACTATCTGCTCCACTTTGGATGGGGTAGCCATCTGGGAACCTGGTGGCAGAGGCAGTCAGTCACCTCCCACAGGCCCAAGACCCTGACACCACTGTCAGGTAGGCTGCATGTAAGCAGCTCCAGGGCCAATGTGGAAGCCTGGGCACCAAAACAAATAAACTTCCAAGTTCTTGGAAAGGTGGCACACAGACCCTCGGCTCCCACAAGAACCATACACATACCTTACTTCATCAAATAAGTTGTTCATTTCCCCAATTAACCGCTGATTTTCTTGTTCAAACTGTGAGGAGACAAACACACTGATGATGCCATCCTGCCGAGCTGAGGTGACAGCAACCTGTGCTGCCTCCTCCCTGCCCAGTCCCTCCTCCCAGCATGGTGCCACACCAGGCTGCCAGAGGACTGTGAGCACCAGTGTGAAAAACACCCCTGCTTTGGGAAGCAAGTGACACACACCCGAAGGAGCTGCTGTGTGGGCTGTGGCTCAGCATCTCCAGCCCATCATCTGAACTCCAAGTACAAAGCTGGCATTTCAGACTGCACAGGCACTCGTGGGCTGGCCTGTAACCACACCCATCTCCAGCTTCCCAGGCTCCACAACTACCCCAAACCTGGGTACCCACAGCCTGCTGCCTGTCTCAGGTAGCAGTATTTTTGAAGGGAGATAGATCTGGAGTGGGGAGGATTGGGGAAGGAGGGGAGAAGCATGGGGCAGAGGCTGACCTGGGCCATCTGACTTTTGGCTATGCTCAACAGAGCAGAGGCCCATGAGCCCGAAGAGCCATATGTCCCAGGGCTCAGGCTGGAAGGGGATACCCAGGGACACTGGGAGTGCCTCTCAAAGCAGAGTTAACTCAGCAGAACTAGCAGCTTCTCTCCTGGTCATTCCTGAAAACTTGTAATTGGCCAAAGACACCGACAGAGTGCGCTGTCGGGTTCTTGGAGGCTGAGCCATGGGTCCCTGGGCCCACTTCTCCAGGAGACCTGTCCTGTCTCCAAGTCATTTCTCATTTTTCTATCCTTGGCTGAGCATTTGTTTGCAAATACCATAGGACACTGATTATGTTCTGCCTTGTAGGAGAAGCTGCACAATTTTGGGCATGTCTGAAGCTCCCCAGGGACTATGACCTAATAGAGGGCAGGAAGCATGTGAACCTACCTTTGAAAAAGCATTCCAGTTGTTCCTTCTTTTACATTATTAAAGCTGCCACCAGATCCACAAATGTTAGATTCTGGGGCTCTGTGCCTGGCACTGAGCAGGATGGCAGGGCACACTTGGAGGTGAGGCCCTCAGTCTCCCAGGCTCCAAAATCCACCAGGACCTGGTTCATGGCTAGCCTGGTGAGCTGTCTGCAGCCTGCTCCCATCTGCCTTCTACTCCCTGGTCAAATGCCATTCATTCACAGCAAACTGCTCCCGGCTGGCCCCGTCCCTCCACCTTAAAGGGTAGGTCTCACTGTTCTCCATGATCTGGCCACTGCCCACCTCTGTATTGCAGTTTGCGCGGGGCACGAGTGACACATCACATCTCCTCCCTTTCTCTGTATGGGGTAGTTCTGTGTGGCCAGGGAGCCCCAAATGGTCCTTCAAAACCTCACACAGGCACCTCTTCTGTGGTCCAACACCTCATGGCTGGCCGAGCCTCTTTCCCTGCAGTTCCTCTGTGCTGTCTGGGGCCAGGAGGGCTGTCTTTCTCCTCTGGAGCATAAAGCCTGAGCCCTGTGCTGGGCCTCTTAGTCCTGCTCCTCATGAAACACAGGGAGGCCCCTGCTCCACCTCTGACCTGCCAGGTCAGGAAATGGGTGGGTTGGCAATGCTTTTGGAAGGGCGGAAGTGTGGGGCAGTCCCCTGCAGGGCCACCTCACCACAGCAGGCCGCCTTATTGGCTGTTGGTAGGTACTATTTAGGTCCCTTTTAATTAGGCATCAGAGAGTAAAAATTTCACTTCTGACTTTGAAAGTATGAGCTCTGTTAACTGTCAACTCAGCAGTGACTTGAGAGTCCAGTATTTAAGGAAAACATGTAATTACTTCAGCTTGCAGGCGCTTATTTACTTTGACTTAATTCTCTCAGGTGTCACTCAGGATTTGGGGGGAAGGCATTTTCTTTGAAATTTTCTAATGATAAAATATGGCTCTGCCCTTTTAAATCCACAGTCCTTTTATGCTTTGAAACTGTTCCTTAACAAAATTAACTAGTGGTCTGAGGTGATTTATTACTGGAATGTTCCCTGGGAACAAAGCCTGTTTGTTTCCCCCCAAGCCCAGAGCATGTGGCACAGGGCGCCCTTCCCAAAGCCCTCAGAAGCAGCCACTGCTGAAAGCTTCACAGCAGCCTCAGCCCGGCCAGGCCTGGGAGCTCATTCTGGCTCTCACTTCCTGTGACCCCAAGGGTTCTCAATGCTACCTGAGCAAGAGGAACAGATGCCTCTGAGGTGACAGGGCTGAAGGGAGGTCTGCCGAAGACCAGGATCTTTGGTGGAAAGCAGCTTCATTCAGAGAGCAGGTCACAATGAAAGAAGCTTTTAAAAAGCCTGCTCCTCACAAACAGGTACAAGGTCATCATTACCAGGTGGGCAGGCTCAGGCCAGGTAAGAGCCAGGTGCTATTACACCAGTCCCCTGCACAAGGCTTCAGGGTAGTTTTCCGTGCTATCTGCATGGCACACCTGGATGACTCACCTCCAGCTGGGGGCAGGGGCCAAGTGGATGTGGAAGCCAGTCCTATGGTCTCATGGGAACGCTTAGGTGACCCTGGGCCAGCCACTGGCTTCTGGGTGCCTACCAGCTTCTTTGTGGACAGGTGGTGAGTGTTACACTACCCTGCCTGTTCCTGTTACCTGTCCAGGGTCAATAGCTGTGGAATTCCAGCTCCTTCACCTTCCAAGCTATATGACCCTGGACAGGTAACTGAATCTCCTCTGAACCTTAGTCTTTGTCAAAATGGAGAGAATGGTGGTACTTGAGCAGCAGGGCCAATCAGGAGGAACCTGAGTTAAACCAAAGTGAGTAGTTTACCACTGGTCAGGGAGGCTCTCTGAAGAGATAACCTCGGAGACCTCAGACATGACAGGAGTGAGAGAAAAGGGCCTTCAAGTGGAGCAACCTGTGGGGGTCCAGGCTGGGTGGAGGCCAGGCTGGGTGGAGGCCAGGCCGTCCTCGCTGGACAGGCTTTGGCTGCACTGCTCCTCTGCACAGAGGCTAGAAATCCAGACTTACTCCCTATTTGTTAGGGCACTTTGGGAAGACCCTTCCGAATTTTTGCCAAAGGCAGGAGGAGAAGGTGACACCCCACTACCTCTTCATGCCACTATTAAGAGCACTAAGAGGAAAATAGACACCAGAAAGCTCAGAAATCATGAAGGGGCTCTGACTGGCAGGCCCTGCTACTGGAGCATGCTGTGTGGGAACTGTGTTCTCCAAGCTGGACAAGGACACTATGACATCAGGGCAACTCCAGGAAGCAGCTGGTAGCACAGGGGGAGGAGCCACAGGCAGACAGTGCTGAGGATGAGCTGCAGAGCACTGGCCCAACCTCTTAGTGTTCTTCTAAACCCACCCAGAGATGACAAAGGAGAGCAGCCAGCCACAGAGGAATGATAACCACATAGCGGTGATCTCAGCAATGAGGTGCTACTTAGCTTTCCCCTCATTACCATAGCATCAGTCACTCCAACAATTACAAAGTGCCATTGTGGCAATTACAAAAGACCCATTTAATCTAAAGATGATTTTAATGCTGGTGAAAAAACATTTATTATTAGTAAAGTTATCCCAAGGCAATTTCTTTTTCAATTATGCTATTGCAAATTTAAAACACATGAAAAGCATATCAGGAATTAGGAAATCAAGTGGGAGTGTATAAAATATATATTTATATTTTTAAAACTTTGGTACAAATATCAGGGAAGGGCATTTAAGATGAAATGGTCTTAGGATAACTCATTAAAAATAAATAATGAGGCAGAGAATGGCATTACCATTTGTATTTCTTCTGGGGATAATTCATCTTCACCTTTGCCATCTCCCCACGTTCCTAATTCAGGTTGTGCTTCGGTCAAAATCTTTTCTGTTAAAAAAACAAAACAAAATAACAACAACAACAACAAAAAAATGAAAATAGAAGGCCAAATAGTCATTTTAGCATAGTGTCACTCAGGATACAGATGTGTTACAAACAAGAGACTGAATGTTATTTTGCAGCTCTGTCTCTATTTATCCATTGGTCAATATGCAGCAATATTTAGGCCTTAAATTGTGTGGATGTGTGCATGTGTATATGTGTGAGAGTGGGGCAGATAGGGACAGTTTCAATATTGCACTGAATTCAACAGTTTCTGCAGACTAAATGGATATTCTTCAGAACCAGTTTTTTTTTTTAGTACATTTCATTTTACAACACACTCTCACGCTAACATCCTCCTTCCACTTTTAAAAGGTTACAACATATGAATGCTTTCACTGGGAAAATAAAAAATATATATGAAATTCTGTTCCCCAATCTCATTCCTTTTCTTGAGAGTCACTGCTTTGATGTAGCCTCCTTGACTTTATCTAAGCATATTCACATATAGATATGCAATTCCTTGTATATCTCCCACACCCAGAAATAATACAGTCTTGTTAGTGCAGTGGCTCATTCTTCACAGATATCAATGATAACATACTGTCCTCAAACTTGCTTTTCAGATTTATCAATCTACCTTGGACATCATTTTGCATCAGTTCAAATAGCTTGACTTCATTCTTTAAACTGTTGCTTAATATTCCATTGTAAGGATACAAGGTTTTCTTTGGTTTGGTTTTGGTTGTTGTTTATTTTTGCAGTACTGGAGATGGAATCCAGGGTGTTTCACATGCTAGGCAAATGATCTACCACTCAGCTACACCCCTATCCCTTTTTATTTTGAGACAGGGTCTCACTAAATTGCCCAGGCTGGCCTCCTACTTGAGATCCTCCTACCTCAACCTCCTGAGTAGCTGGAGTTACCGGCATAGGTGTCTGACCGGATACAGTTTAGGTCACTGTAACTCCACTGGTAAACCTTCAGTTAGGTCAGTGTTCACTAGTCTAATACTATATGCCCCTGTGGAGTATTTCTGCAAGACGGGTGCCTGGCCACGGAACTGCTGAACAGGAGGGTGTGCAGAGTTTAATCTAGAGAACTTTTTGATCATGGTTGGTCAAGTGACGGCTCCTTGATGAAGTTTATTGAGAAGGCAGGCTTCTAGAAAGGCCTGCTCTCAGCACAATGCTGGAGAGATCTGCATGGGTTATACCCAGGGCTTGAGGACAGCAGCGAAAGGGCAGGGACTACTCCTCCAGGAGGACTGTAGCGAGGTCTCTGCCTCCAAAGGTGCCTGTGTGAATCTCAGCAGTACCTCTGAGCTTGCCATCAATTCAAAAGACAATACCATTTCTTTTCCCTTTCTTCCTCAACCTCAGTACAATTTCCTGTAGTTGGTCTCAGTCCTAGGAGATGAGCACAAGTCCAGGGTCTTCTGACATGAAAAGGACTCATGACAGCAGCAGGCTGGAGATAGCAGACCAAGCATGAAAGATGTGGTTGTCACTGGAAAGAAATCTTCACAAAAATCCTCCACTTCCACCACAACAGTGCAGGAAAACTGTTTTCACCACAACTGTCATCACAGGAAAAATATATTTATAAGGCCTGGCTGAACGCATCCTTACAAACCAAGCTACCATTTCATTGAGATGACATCCTTTGGGCAGGGGAGTTGCACTTTCCATCCATCCTACTCCATCCCTAAGAGCTTGCTGTCTCCTGTCTGTTTTCATTACGGTGCCCATTTCAGTTTTTTTAAACACATAAACCTTGTTCATGTCTGAACCAGCAGCCTAGGTCTTTATACCACTTTTGATTCCATGGCCATCTGAAGCCTGGTCCTGAACCCTGTAGCTCATTGCATGCTGCACCCAAAGTGGTGTTGAGTTCAGATGTTCAGTTCAAGGCCTTCTGTGCTTTAGCCCAGCCCACAGTTAACTCCCGTTACTTTTGGGTTCTCCTCATCCCTTCTTTCTCTCGGATGCATCCAGGCCAATGGCTGCAAACTGCCTATTTCTCAGGAACCCCCCTCCCCCACCCCAGCTCTAAGCTCTCCCTGCTCACTCCAACACATACTGTGTACATCCAAAGGGCATCTCAGAAGGCCTGCAGGCCACTGTATTGATTCCTTCCCACTCTCCTGAGCTTTAGTGCCAAACCCCACCTCTAGCTGTGCTCACCTCAGGCAGCAAGGCCACCATTCCCCGTCCACCGTCTAGCTATTGCTCCAACCCCAAGCCTGCAGGCTGTTCACCCCCAGCTGTTCTCATCCTTCACATCTCATGTTCCACTTACCAGATAAGCTCAGGCTCCAAAATGCAGCAAGTGCTTCTCTCACCCCTCTACCATGGCCTCCCCAAAGGCCTACACTACCTTGTGCCTGGGCTATTGTAAGATTCCTGGCCCATCTGTCTGCCTCTGTGCTAACCCCTCACAGCAGTATCAAGGCTTTTAGGACCCAACCCAGACCACATCATGCTCTAGCTTCAAACCCACCAGTGGCTTCTTACCGTGCTTCAACTCAAAGCCTAATTTTGCCACAAAACACAGTCTTCTGCCCAGCACTGCTTCTCTGCACCCTTGGGGACATCTGATGCTACCTGCTCTTGCACTCTCCCACAGTCCTAGCAGGTGTGAGCTGGTTCTTTACTGGGACTGTCATTTGCATTTCCCTGATTACCAAGGATGCGGAGCACCTCTTCATGTGCTTACTGGCCATCTGATATTTCTTTTAAGAAACTTAAGATCTTTCGCTGATTTTTAACTAGTTGTTTTTGTAGTACTGAGTTGTAAAGAGTTCTTTCTACATTCTAGATACAAGCACCTTATCAGATATATAATTTGCAAATACTTCTTCCCATTCTGTGGGTTGTCTTCACTTTTTTGATGAGGTTCTTTGAAGCATGAAAGTTTTTAGCCCCAGTGACTACCACTAATCTCCCCACATCCCTGAAAGGTGGGTATTATCATCCCCATTTTAAAAATGGGCAAACTGATATCCGAGTGCTGTCAGCGCTGGAGCTGGGCTCCAGACACCTTCAAAGGGGCACTCTTCATATGCCCTCTGTCTCCAACATGCCAGTCAGTGCTCTCCTGAAGGCCAAGAGAGGTGGGTTAGACAGGAGATGGCCTCGTGCCTACATGGACTTTAACCATGAAGAGCAGCATTCTTTCACTCTGACCACTTATTTCCTACACTGCAGAGGCAACTGATTCCTCTCCATAGTAAGGAAGAGCAACTGGGTTCCAGACAGAGACTCATGCATGTGTGCAGTTTTCCAAGCCATATTTGCTGAGCCTCCTGTGGGTTGAGACTGGCTCCAGTACTGGGGGTACAGGAATGAGCAAGACTCCTGCACTTGTGGGACTTCTGGTTAGCAGGGAAGACAGGTAATAAGATAACAGAGAGGACTACTGGGAGGAGGGGAGAGATAGTCAGACAGGAAGTACCAGAAGGAGGAAGTCCTTCCTTCTCTTCCTACTAACCTTCACTCCTTGTGAATCCAGCCTGTCTCAAGGGATCAAGACTGTCTACACCCCGTCCCTGACCTCTAGACTTGTGAACCCAGTTTCTTACTCAACATCTCCCCTAGGAATCTCACATCCACATGTACTACCCACATTCCTGATCAAGCTTGTTCTTCCATCGTCCTCCACAGCTCAGTGAAGGGCAGCTCTTTCCTTCCAGGTGCCTAAGACACAGTGGCTCTTTTGGTGCCTCCTCATGCCCCACACCCAGAAGGCAAATTCTGTGGCTCTATTTCAGAAGACATCCGGGATTCTACCACTGCTGCCGTGCTTGGTGCAGTCCGCCCCTGCCTTGCTGCTGGTGGCTCTAGAAGCCTCCCAACCACTCATTTCTGTCCTTGCTTCCTAACATTCCATTCCAACAGGATGACCAGAGGGATCCTGCTGAGACGTAGTCAAGTGTGACAGTCCTCTGAGCAGATCTGCTTATAGCTTCCTGTCTCACTCAGTAAAGGCACAGTCTCCCTGTGGCCTACAGGCCCCCAGGACCAAGTTCCCAGCACCTTCCCAGTCCATGCCCCTCTGCTCTCTCCCCATCTCCAGCCCTGGGTGGGAGCTCAGCAGCCACACAAGACACACTCGTGTCCTGGGCCACTGCTTGCAACAATCCTCCCAGGGGCCACAGGGTTTTAATTCCTCAGGTCTTAACTGAAATATCAAGGTCTGCACCTCTGGGACAAGCCACGGCACACACCTGTTTCCACAGCACACACCATAACTGACAGCAGCTAGCATCTGCTTCCCACTGGGCTGAAGGAGAGGTGCTGATTTTCTGCTCCTTGCCATATCCCTAACAGCCACACTGCTCACTCCCATGCCCCTAGACCCATGAATGAATTGGCACCTGGCACAAGATACAGCTTGGGATCCAGTTCTGCATAGGAGATTCGGAGCCCCAAGTCTGCACTGGCTTTCCCACTCTCATCTACCCTCACGGCATTTCCTGAATACATGCATGAATGAGCAGATGTGGATGCTGTGTGGACTGAGTAAATTTAGTAATGATGCATGTACACATTATCTTCTGAGAAGCCCATGATTTTGTGGGTGATGGTAGGATGGGTAGGAACAGGAGGTACACTGAGCCCCTGCCTGTGAAGTCAGGGCAGCTGTCACCAGGAATGGGCTCAGGTTTACAAACAGCATGGCCCACACCGAAGCCAGTGCTGTCCTTGGTGCTGGACTGTGCATGGATTACGTAATCTCACTCAACTCATATCCTCACATTTGAAATGCTGACAATAACAAACACCTCACAAGGCCCAGTATACATCACGTCTTTAACATGCCCAGCATGTGCCTGGTACCAGTAGAGGGCTCCATAAATGCTCATCTCCTTGCCATTCCCTCCTGAAAGCTGTTCTGAACTTTAGAAAGGAACTGTGGCATGGGCCAGGCTTAGGAAGCCACAGTGTGTAGTGAACGCTCTTGCTTGTGAGAAGCAAGGGATAAATGAGATGGAGAGACAGGAGGCAGTCTGAGTAACAGGACTTTTCAGAAAACAGAACTGTGCATGAATTCTGCAGCTGCCAGTTGTAAGTTACCCATCCTGGACAAGTCCCCCAGGTTTTGTGAGTCTTTGTGAGCCTTTCAGGGGGGGTTTCTCTGAAAAAAGAGAGGCTCGTGGAATGTACCTGCAGGGGGCTGCTGTGAGGGTGACAACCACGCCTGTGAGCATGCGGGCCTGAGCCCCACACCCCAAGACAGACCACAACAGAGGAAGCAAAGGTGCCCAGCTTCTCCTGGCCCCAGCGCCCCTGCCTGCGAGTCACATAGTGTGGAAACCTCTGTGCTACGTGCACTAACAGGCGTCCTCTGCATTGGGTACACACAGAATGAAGATGTCCATGACAATAGGATATAAAGTCTAAAAAGTCATGGGGTACCTGGTATCCACAGCGATAGGCAGCACATAAACCCACTCTTGCACCTTGTCCTGCTGGCTTGACCGGCTACGAAAGCCACCGAGATCACACGCTCGCCCTGGCAGGACTGGCAGGACGGTGCCGAGAGCACAGGGTTTTGCCTGGAGGGTAGCACTGCCTCCTCGGCCCTTCAGCAGAGCCCAATCCCCGGGCAGTGTACAACTCAAGCAGGCCTTTTCATCTGGACCCCAGCTCCCAGGTGACTGGATGGCTCTTCTCAGCCAACTGTGGACAGACAAAACCACGGCCACCTCCCGCCGGCCTTGGCTCAAGCAACCACACATGCAGCTGGCAGGGGCTGGGCTGCCGCTTCTGTCCTACTCTGCACTCTGGCTAGCGCCGTGAGGAAGGAATACAGGGCAAGGCTTGAACTTTAACTCATACCTGGATGCTCTTCAGTGGCAAGTGTTTCTTCAGAGTCTTTTGAAGGATTCTGTGAAACTTTCTCAGAGAATGTGGATTCTCTTGTCTTTGTACTTGGCTCAGGTTCCAGCTTAGATCTAAAAATAAACAATTGTTTGTTGTAAAACCTATGCTACTCTTTTTGACAACAGAAGAGAGTCACTGCCTCATGAACCAGCGGCTATCTGGACACACCTCCACAGGGCACTTGTAAAGAAGCATAGGCATTGCTGCCTCAGGCAGGGGCTGTGCACCCTCCACAGCATGGGAACAGCATCAGTAGAAGGCTGCAGTCTGAAATGCCCCCGATGGACACCACACTTAGTGAATGGGCAGTGAAGGCCCTACCTTCAACAAACCCAAAGCCGGATGTTCACTAATCCACTAGTTTTACACTAATTCAAAAGTCTTGCTGAATATATGTGTATGTGTACAGATATATATACACAGTAGAAACATAATTTTGACCCATATTATATACCCACATATAAGTAATACTTAGTTTAACTATAAAAGTACAAGTCTTTAATACCTCCGAGGTGGAACCATCTCTGCACTTCCTTCCTGAACTTCTTCCCACAAGGGGTCTCCTTTTCCACCCAGGGGGCATAGCTACACCTATTCAGAGAGGCTCTCCCTGCTACCCAAGGACCCTGCCACTCCTCTGCACCTGCTTGCTTCCTCCGCAGCAGTGATGAGTCTGTCATGCCGTCTTTTATCTGTCGTCTGTGAGAGCAGCTCTTTGCCTTCATGAGTCACATTTGCTGCTTAGCCCTGGATCCTGGCATTCAGTGCTTGCTGATGGTCTAGATAAGGGTTTCCCAAAGGCCTATGTGCCGAAGGCCTAGTCCCCAGCCCATAAGCACCTTTAAAGGTGAGTCCTAGTGGGAAGTACTCAGGTCACTGATATGCACATGAAGGGGATATTGGGACCTTGGCCCCCTTCCTGTTTGTCTTCACTTCCAGGCTGCCATGAAGTGAACAGACTGCCTTTGTCACCCTAGGCCCAATGCAAGAGGGCTAAGTGACCAATACCTCTGAAACCATGAGCCAAAATAGACATTTTCTTCTTTTAAGTTGGTTATCTTAAGTATTTTGTCACAGTAATGGAAAACTGATAGTGTTCAGTAAGTATATGTTGAATAAATGGATGCTTTACAAATACCAGTAAATGGCTAATGAGAGAGAAAAACTTTGCTTCCTTTGCTAAGAAGCTTTTTAGTTTGAATCCATCCCATTTATTGATTCTCGATTTTACTTCTTATGCTTTACTACAGTGACACAGTCATATCAAACAACAGGCCCCGTTATGAAACAACAGGCCTTGTAACAGCTTTATATGACACTGTGAAAATCCCAGGCAGAGTGCTAGGAGGGTCTGTGATAAAGTCCATGTTGCCAGGCAGGTTGTAAGTAAGGGAACAATGGAAACATGTGAGGGTGACTTATTAATGCCAGCTAATGTTTACTGGGGGCTTATTATATACTGGCCATTTTTCTAATAAGCACTTACATGGATAAATGTATTCAATTCCAAAACAATCGAAAGAAGGCACTAGTAGTAATGACCTTTTTATAAAGAAGGAAACCGAGGCCTGAGGAAATTTGGACACTCATAAGGGTCATAAAACACACGGCTGGTTTGGGACAGGACCTTAGGGACCTATCTCTGGAGTCCACACTATGTCAATTCAACGAGGAAAAGAATGTCTGTTTAACAAACATTGATGAAATGAGTAGATATTTATAAAGAATAAATAAACTCCAACCCCATTTCACTCCATCAAAAAATTAATCTGACACACACAGTAGACCTAAACAAACCACCAAGTCAAAAAGACTCTAGAAGAAAGCATAAAAGAATATTTTAGTGACCTTTGGGCAGAGAAAGCAAAAATTTCAAAAATCTGGCTTTCTCAAAATCATGTTTCTATTCATCCAAGATATCATTAGGAAAATAAAGAGACAAACCACAGAACAGGAAAAATTATTTGTAGCACGTATCTGACCAAGGAATTGTATATACAATAGATAAAGAACTCCTATACAAACCAACAAAAGGACAGATAATTCAACAAGAAATGGGTAACATATTGCTAGACATAGGGCACGTCTGTTAATCCCAGTGACTCAGGAAGCTGAGGCAGGGGGGTTGCAAGTTTGAGGCCAGTCCCAGCAAATTAGTGAGATACTCAAAGTTTAAAAACAAAAAAGACCGGGGATGTGGTTCAGTGGTATAGCACACATGGGTTCAATTCCCACAACTACAAAACCAAACCAAAACAAAACAAAATAACCAAGAAGAAGAAAAAGAAAAAAAAGGGGAGGCGAGTGGATAAGATACTTGAATAGATGCTTCAGGAAAAAAATATACAAATGGTCGATAACACACGAAAAGGTGGGACAATGAGAAACCCCCAAGCATTCACTGGGACAGCTTAGGAAACAATCAACCCCTGATCGTAGTGGGGACCTGAAATGTATGTAAGCACATACTGCTAGAAGGTATGTAAGACAGTGTTACTATTTTGAAAAACTTAAGGCAATTTCTTACTAAGTTTAAGAAACATCTCCA